AGAAATGGCTCTTTCCATTTTCCAGGATGAGAAGTGCGACACTGCAAATAAATAGCGTTAACGAAATTATTATGCGGCAGATTATTGCATGGGAAATTAAAAGTTTTTCTCCATTAAAAAATATTCGAGTCTGGACGATGTAATTCCGGTAATGATTCAGAAGGCCCAATCACTGGCGATTTCAGAGCTTAAACATCTTAGGTCACTTGGCAACGTGTTAAAGAACTTTTCATTATCAAGGTAGGCAAGAGAGGATTTGCACTGTCTAATGACTTAAAGCAGCGACGGGCAGAGAGAGCTTTTACACTCCGCGCGCCTATACAAAGTTTAAAAGAGCTTTGCCCGCAGGCTAGGCAGTGCCCATCGCCGACTTAAAGTCATTTGCTCTCTCGTTTTTTGAAAACTGGGAAGAGGAACTTATGTGAATAATCCTCACATGACAGATTAGAAAGCGAAGAAAAATCCTATTGATTTCATCTAAACTCTATGCTACGGTATTTTATGACCAGCTAATACAGTTGTAACCCATTTGGGTTAAAAATGTATGCTCATCCATCTTTAGACAACTTTCATTTCTACACAAAACCCCTTTTAATCCCAAATCTATACCTTAAGGTTATGGTTTATTAGCTTACAAACAAGTATTAGTATCAAAAACTTAATTCAAAAATACATCCAAATCTGTCCTTCGTCAATAAAACAATCAATCCATCAGCCGAACAAAAGTACTAATAGTAAGTAGGCCAAGTTCAGTAGACCAACTTAACAATGAGCGTGTGATAATCTATTACCAATACTTTTAAGAATTTGTTGGGCGAGTGTTGTTTCTTACCTTTATGAAAAAAAAAAACCAGAAAAACTCAAAGCTTTATCAAATTAATCCCTTACAAGTGTAAGTATATACATACATATGTATCTTATGCCCATAGTAAGATGAAGGCAAACACAACGTATAAGTATAAATGCATCGATTTTTGATGGCTGAACGTGTTCAAGTTGATTTTTCACATAAGTTTAACAACATCATCAGCATAATCATATACAAAACGTACGCAGTTGTGACAAAAGCGGCGACAAATGGGGAAAATTTCTTCATTGAAAATGCTATGAAGGAAAAATTTTGTGAAAAGATTAAACAAGTATGTACAGCTTTTGAAGATATGCAAAGCTTATCAAAAATTCGAAGTAGCGATGTTGTGCCTTTTCCTCCAAATCTGTGGAGCGCATCTTTATGTTATTGCAAAAATGTAGGAGACTCCAATTGCATGATAAAAGAAACCGGTTTTGAAAGAAGGTCCTAGATCGAAAGGTCAGCGTAAACGAATTTACTCTCTATGACCCCAGCTATGTCCAGCTTATCCAGCGTGAGGTGGACTTACACTTAAATACTTGAATTTATCCACAGTCGAGCACCGTATTATTCGTCGACCAAGTTACTGTTGACATTTATTAGAAAAGCGAATATTATCTTAGACTGCAAGGGTTTTTTGAGTCGGGACTTGGTTATATAGAGGCTTTGTCTAACGGGACGCTAACCGCCGACATATTCAGAATTCGCTATGTAGAAGCTTTTGCGTCAACGAATCGGTATATAGAGGCTTTTTGCAACGGTACTTCAATTCCGATTTTTCAAAAGTTCCGAAAATACTGAAAAACAGAACACGAAGTAAGTTCCGAAAAAACCCAAAAACCGCAAAAACTCTAAACAGTCCCGAAAAAATCACAAGAAATTCTTCAAAAGCCTCTATAAAACCCGAAGAACACCGAAAAATTCCGAAAAAAACCAAAAAGTGTCGAAAAGTTGCTGAAAATTTTCAAACGATCCTGAAAAAATCACGAGTAAATTTCGACAAGCAGTAAACAATATCCGACGAATTTCTTCATATTTGCAGTAAAATAAAACATAATAAAAAATTGGATGGAATGAAAGTTGTAGGAAAATTGTACAAACTAAAAAAATTTTAATAACACCGAAAAAATTCGCGTACTTAGGAACAAACTGAATAAATCTATTTTTGTATTTGCCATGAGCCAACATCCAATTTCTTTTCTTAGCCAAAAGTCACAACTTCGATTTAATTATCATTTTCGGTCGCCTTAAAAGTGCTCTTTCCAAAGTATTTTCATGAGATGTAGTTGTGTACATATGTACATTAGACCGTACCAGAAAAAAAAAGTTCGCTATTTACTTTCGAACTCAAGGTATTTTTGAAAGGCTATCTCGACTTTTGTTCTTTTCGAACGGGTTCCCCTTTTTACATTTTTTTTTTCATATCTTCCGCATTTATAGTCGGACCTTAAAGTATGGTGTATCAATGTTCTTGTCTCGCGGCAAGGCGATTCGAGTTACAAAATTTTGGCTGAACGTATGGGTCGCTTTTTTACACTTTTCATCATATCTTCGGCATTTACAGTCAGAGCTTAAAGTATTGTACATCAATATTCTTGTCTCTAGTAGGCATTTTTTTTGTCTCAAAGTTCATTGACCTAAAGTACCCCTTTCTATTACTTAGCCACCATACCTCAGTTCTTATCACCGTAACGCACCACCCTAATGTGAGTAAATTCAAGTCAAAAGTCAAAAGTCATTTCAGTTGAACTATTAAAAAAAACATGTCATTGCCGAAAGGTCGACCCCGAGATACGGCAAAAAAAGTTCAAATTGCTTTGCAAAAATACTTAAAACTCAGGCCGAACTTTTTTGTGTGCGTGTAAGGTGTTACGGTCTAATGTACATATTTACATTCTGACCCAACTGTATGCATGCAACTGATGAAGGTTTGTTGACGTAGCTAATATTGAAGGGGATGTCAAAGACACAATGAACCTCGAAAGAAGGTGGGAGCATTTCCCACTTGATCGCATATCAGACATGCCTATTAACTTAAAGCCGAACTAAAATCTTTTACATATTGTATGTAGTATATTGCAGGCCTATCTTGATCGAATAAAAACTGAAAACCGCTTGCTTTACAATGGCGTTTTTCAATATTTACACTTAAAAATTAGGTCAGTGGGTAAACAACTTTATTTGCTAGACGGTCGTAGTGGAAACAGAAGTATGCATACAATGTAAGCATGTATGTATATATTTACATACATAGTTCATGCTGCATAGTTTTACTACTACTTCTTAGCTTCTATTAATTTCTAATTTTTGCATAATTTATGAGCCACGCCATTTTCATTATAATATTCACATTCTTCTAATAGTATGTAACTTCTCTACATCATCAGCTTCAACGCGATTTTTTTTTAGTCACATTCTAATGAGCTTACAACATCCTCCCATTTCCGCCACATCTTGTCATTTAGCGCTTTTTAGCATTTTGGCGCACACATTCCTTCTTAGGTCCTTTGTTTGCAAACAAAATTTCGCTTCCGCTTTAAGCATACTCGTAGCTCTCAGCGAGCATTGTGCTAAAGTGCGCAGCAAATAGACGCTCATAAATCTGTGCATTTTTTTTTTGTAACTTATTAATTTTTGTTTAATTAACTTACGGCGCGTGATTTTCAGCGTAATTGAGGTGAAGAAGTGAAGCAAAGTCAAAGTCTTTTTATTTGTTTTGCGAGATGCCACTTGTAAGTAAGTTCGTAGTTTTTTGGCTCGTACGAGCAGTTGCAGCAAAAATTATGTAATGAGTTTAGTAAATTAAAACGGAAATTCACTTCTAATAACTGCTTAAGTGAAATTTACGCAAATGCAGTCAATTAAGATGATTATAAAAAATAGTGTAGCACAGTATTAGATTAAGTTATATTTATTAGTCTGGCTAAGGATGGAGTGATTATTAATAAGTCAAATCCCAAGTACAAAAAAATATAGATTTCTGAATTTAAAGTTTTATTAAATCCTAAATAATATAAATTTATTATCTGTACGCCGAATCAAATCCTTAATAAAATTTATGTGTGTGTGTTTTGATTCGGACGCGGACTCCTTTAAAGTTAATAATCTTCACTATTGTTTCTTAAACAATACAAATTACCTTAGAATAGACTCCATGACTTACCAATTGCGTCCGTGCTAGGCATGGGTACCATGGGAGTATGTACCGAGCCACAGAAAAATTCTTCCGATAAATCACTATTGTTGCAGACACATTTTTGAATAGAGTTGACACCCAACAAACTAATAAAAAAAAAAATTATGAAACATTTTTTACATGTACATTAGGTGCACCCTATTTTTCAACTTTGGCCAACAAAACAAAAATCGGATGATGCAAAATCTCAAGATCGGACAATGCAAAGACGTGAAATGCTTCCAAATAACTTCCAAACCTGACAAGATATGAAAATGTTGTATATTCAAAATCAGCGTGCAAAAATGCATTGCGTGATATGAAACAATTAAGCTTTTTTACCAAATTATAGGTTCTTTTTCTTATTTTAAGTAAAATTTAATGGATTAGCGTATGTAACTTTTTGGCTCTGTTATCCGATTTTGAAAATATTTGACGTTTTTATAACCAAACGAACCCATCTAGGGGGAGTCTTGCTTTGTAGCTTACAAAAAAATCTTCTCCATACAAATAAGGCTCAGACTAATTTATGTAAATACATACATACATATGTATGAACATGAAATGAATTTGCGATTAGAACTTTTATTGTGTTTGTCTTTCGTGTATTAAAAGTTCGCTAACCTCTTCTATAAAAATAAATCGTGACTTTTCCGTGCTTTGCAGATCAGAACTACAAAGCAAAAACTAAATCAACTAAGTCATAAGCAAATTATTAAAATAAACTGTAGAAAATAAAACCAACAAATTAGCACAGTATTGTGCGCTAATCGCGCTGGGAGCGCCTTCACAGCGCTTAGTAACAAGAGCCGCGCTTACAGTTCTCAACCGTCAGCCCTGCTAAGACATTTAACAAATAAAACTATCCCACTCCACCCGACAAAAACGGCCAAAATGTAACAAAGGCAAAAAAAACAATAAAAAAACTCAACACAATAGCATCGTTGAGGTGACAACAACAACCACAGAGGCATCATGCATTCCGCTGCTGCAATCCACCACCACCACCACAAACCTTCAGCGGCGCCTTCAGCAACCCCTGCTAGTGGCCGCCACCGCACAATTGGCCTTTTAAGCAGCTTCATGCGTCGCTTATTAAAACTTTTGATTAGCTGCATTCTCATGCCGGCCATACAACATCACATTCACATTAATTGGTCTCCAATGTCAACATCTCCAACGTCCAGCATGGTGGTGCATGCATCTGCCATCTCCGTTTCTGTCTCGATGTCCACAACGAATGCAACCAATGTCGCCGGAGTGTCTGTGCGCAGCGCTGAGCATGACGTCGGTGTTATGTCTGCTGCAGCGGCTTTGTCCGGCTTGGGTTCACGTGCGCCCGCTTCCTGGTCGGTAGCTGCTTCTCACATGCGTTTGACGCAACGCAACAATCATGCAAACATTTCCGAGTTGCTGGACAATTTATTACGTGGCTATGATAATAGCATACGACCGGGATTTGGCGGTAAGTGGAAGCTTTTTTGAAAAAAATACGATTATTTATATGAAATGCTTCAAGTTAATTAATTTATTTTATCTGTTGCTTATTTTTTAATCATGCAGAAATTATCAAAAACGTACTACACCTCGAGTCATAGTTATCGGCGCCCCACATAATGACAAGTTTAAGGAGATTATTTTTTGTTATTTAATATTAGATATTTTTTTATAAAAACATAGTTTATTTTTTAACAAAATATATATAAATCCAGTTTTCTAACTTCGTAAAATATTTAAACAATATTCAAAACAAAAATTCATTTTAACTAGATCGCTTAGAAAGGTTTTATGTATGCAGTAGTGTAGCCCATCAATTTTAAAATCACTAAGTGCAAGTGTTGATTTTTGGAAACTTTTTTTGTTGAAGGTGTTGCTCATTTTCTTCCATACGAAAAATACGTCGAACATACTTTGTATGGAAGAAAATGCAAAATCTTGCTAAGTTTGCAACTGAATTTATGCGTTTTTTTAAGGGTAAACTATGGCCCGTGTTTATAAATATTCAAAATAAAGTCGACTCTAAAGTTGGAGGTACATTTTTTATCAGATATCCCATTGAATACAACAACAATATTGTCGCCGCCAGCGAATGAAGAGGAAAAAGTTCTTTAAAATTTATTTCGTTGTCAGATGCTTTGGTAAGGTATGAAGGGTATGAAGCTACATTTAATTAGGACTCAAAAGATCTTCGAAGGCGCAGTGTCTTTTGTATTGATACAACCAATTTCTTAACTAAATAACTGTCTAACTGACTACAATTTTTGAAGTGAAACTTCTTTAGCGGCGGTTAGTTGGTTGGGAGTAAATGGGCAAATTCAACGAAAATTGCACACGGAAATGGTGAAACAGAAATGGTTGGGACGGGAACAAGTGCTTCTTGCATCTATGTTATTAATTTAATAAAAACTTGCTAATAAAGGCTTAAAGAATAACACTTAAGACCAATACATAAATGAAAGTAAAGGTGAGTACGTACATAGATAAAGAGAAGGATAAAGGCAAAGGTAAAAATAAAAATAAAAACAAAAACAAAGATGCGTAAAAATAAAGGCAAAAATGAAGACCAACGTAAATTTAAACACTTTACTTATATAAGGGCAAAGGTGAAGGGGAATATGTAGATGAAGAATATGATAAAAATAAAAATAAAAACAAAGATAAATATAAAGAAAAAGATGAGGATGAGGATACCGATAAAAGTATAGATGAAGATAGAGGAAAAAAGATTAAAATAAAGGTAGTTTTAGAGAAAAGGATATAGATAGAGGCACAGAGACTCAATCTGGGAACTCTTTCGGGATTTGAGAGATTTTCGGGATTCTCGGGACTTATCGATATAGTAATCGATATTTTTATCGGTTTTGTTATCGATATTGTTACCGATTTTGTTATCGATTATTCATCGATTTTGTTATCAATTTTGTTATCGATTATTTATCGATTATTTATCGATTATTTATCGATTTGTTATCGATGTTTTTATCGATTTTTAGTCGATTTTTGTTATCGATTATTTATCGAATTTATTGGCGATTTTTTAATCGCTTTAGTAACTAATTTTTGTACTAATATTATTATCGATTATGCTATCGAAATTTTTATCGAATTTGTCATCGATTTTGTTATCGATTATTTATCAATTTTGTTATCGACTTTGTTATAGATGTTGTCATGAATTATTTATCAATTTTGTTATCGATTATTTATAGATTTTTTTTTTCGATATATTTATCGATTTTCTAATCTATTATTTATCGGTTTTGTAGCGATATTTTAATCGATTTTGATTTTGCTACCAATATTATTATCGATTTTGTTATCGAAATTTTTATCGCATTTTTATCGGTTTTGTTATCGATATTTTGGATGTTACTATCGATTGCGTTAGCGATAGAGTATAAAGATAAAAATAAAGATAAAGGTATACAGAATAACATAAATGTATGTAATTAGAACGAACAGGGGTAGAGGTAGAGATCTAGATAGAAAAAAGACAAAAAATAGAACCTTAAGCAAAAGCAGATGTACATATGTGTGTATATTGGTTGTGAGACAAAATAGATATGTAACGTAAGTTTCACTTCTCCAGTGTGGCCCAGGCGCACTTACTTTTTTTTACAGGCTTTTCAAATGATTGAGTGCTGATGTTCTGCATAGCTTATTGTCATACATAACTACTCATCGGAAAGTCTAGGCAGCCAACTGCTTAGCCGAGTTCACCTAATCAAATAAAAATTGAGTCATTAAATTCCAATAACACATTCAAAGGCTCAAAGGAATTTGCATCACCTAATGGCCACTTTAACTGCGCTGCATCCATTGATTAACAAACGAAAATAGCCTAAGCGTACTTAAATATGGAAAATGTTTTTTTCTAATATTAAGTTAAATTCTATAAATACATAAACCAGAAACGATTATTATTAGAAAAGGGAGCAAAAACATTTAGCTTTGAGTTAATCAAATAAAGTGCTGCTACGCATTTCTATTTCCATACAGCATCATACTTTGAATACTTTTAAAAAGTTTCTGAATTATGAAAGGAAATGTATGTAAATAGCAAGGGCAACTTAATAAAAAATGAGCCAAGCATTTGATTAAACAAATCATTGGTGGCAAATAGTTGGGGTAACCACCATCATGTCCTTTGACACTCAAGTAATTGGCGTGTAATTTGTCAAGAGCAAAACGCTTCAGCAGAATTGAAGAATTTTTAAAGCAATGCATACTCAAATATTCGCTATGTGCTATTGCACTGGAGACCATAGACGTAAAACAGCAACATGGATGGGGGCATTCATGACCGTGTGTATGGAGAAAATAAGCTGCTAAATGCCTAGGATTTTAACAAATGACAAACGAAGACTTTTCGGATACCATTCATCTGGCGCCTTCACTTGACCCAGTTGTGCTGAAATTTTTAGCGCATCCACTTTTTTGATGTATGTATGTATGTCAGAGATGGGCAGAATTGTATTTACTATGTATCGAGTATGATAGTGTTAACTTATTGTCACAGTACTAAATACTAGATACAAAAGTATTTAGTTAGTTTCACCTAATGAAACACCAAGTACAAAAGTGCTTAAGTAGAGACTTTGGATTTACTCACTACAGCGTGCAAAAAATATTTAGTATATAACGGCTTCACTAAATTTTGATACAAAAGGACTTAGTACTTATGATTTGATTAAATGCTAAATACACTACTAATATAAAAAAAGAATTTCGTCACTTCAGGACTATTTGAGGTCTTTTGCGACTACTTCGCGATTTACGGAACTATTTTAGGATTTTCGGGATCTACAGTACTATTTCGGAATTTTCTAGAGTCTTTTCGAGACTACTTCGGGATTCACGGACCTACATATATCGGGATTTTCGGTTTTTTTTTTGGATTCTCGATATTATTTAAGATTTTCGTGACTTATTCGGGTTTTTTAGAATTACTTGGATTCTCGAGGCTATTACGGGATTTTCGATACTTTTTCGGGTTTTTTAGGATACTATTTTGGAACTATTTCGGAATTTTCTAGACTTCTTCGACATTTTTAGGATTTTTTCCGGATTTTTCGGACTAAATTAGAATTCTTGGCCTTGGCCTTTAAGACTATTTCGGGGTTTTTATAAAAAAAAAAATGCTGACCTGAGTTGAGGAGAGTTAATTTTTGTTGAGATAAGTTGAGTTGAGTTGAGTTTAGTTGAGGTGATTTAAGTTAAAGTGAGTTAAGGGAAGGTTAGTGGAATGGTGGTGAATTGAGGTGAGAGTGATGTGTGTTAAGGCGAGTTGAGGTGAGGTGAGGAAAGTTGAAGTGATGTGTGTTTAGGCGAGTTGATGAGTTGAGGAGAGTAAAGAAAAGTTGTAATTGCTTTAGCTTTTCCTAGGGGCGTTCCATACCATACTGGTACTTTAAAAACGAAAGTACTTAAATATGCCCACCACTGTTGTATGTAACATACTCATGCATAAATTTCGGAAAAAATCTGAAAAGCTAGCTAGCAAAAGGATGCACTGGCGACAATTCCGAAAATTGACATTTATGAAACTGTCAGCTAAGGCAATCGTTCCATCAAATAGTAATGGCGAATAGCAGCGATGTCCTTCAAATGATGAAGGCGAAATGCAAATTAGCTAGAGGCGAGAGACTCGCCGAAGCTTCGTATGCAGTCGAGATAAGCTAAACGCAGCAACTGTGCTTAACGGACGTTGATAAGGCTTGTGTCTAAGCGAATATGACCGCTGACACGCAGAATGCAAAGGAAGAAAGTAGAACGAGTAATATGTATTTAGGGCGAGTGACAGCAGCCCGCGTATTGTAGCCTACACTTTCTGATTAGCATCTGCTGTGCTGTTAGAGGAAATCCGAGCAGCTGAATTGCGTGCGGAAAGTGTTGAGGCACGGAAATTGTTTGCCGTTGAAAACGCTTGGAAAGCAATAAACAACAAAGGGCATAGGAAATTGACAATTTGCATACATATATTTTCTTTGCGATTACAACATTTTGCTGCTAGCAAATTTTCAATTAAGAAAAAAAAACCCTCTTTCAAAAACAGCAAATCGCGTTATTCACAGGTGAATTTGAAAAGCTGTTACCTGTCTCAAATACTTACTGTGCCAAATAAGCTTGTTTGCAAATTCTCTTTGACTTTGTTTTTTGCTCGCTGTCGCTTTACGTTCTATATTTTACTGGTATTTTGCACAACAGCCATACAAATGCTGCAAATGCATTTAAGAGATCTTCAACACTTTTATGTTTACACTAACTATTTTTGTGCACTTTGCATGTGGGAATGTGCTTACACATACATACATATGCTTGATTAAGCATTTCCGTTTCCTTTTTTGCTCTCGCATTAGCGTTGTAAATCGCCTTTGTGGCGAAATTCGTCACACAGCATCACTGCTTTGAGGTATAAATCAGTGTTGCCACAAGAATTTTGTATTTGTTACTAAAATCGCCAGAATGAGTTACCAAAGTCGCGCATGAGTTGCTCAGGTTTTCCAGACTCCGCGAATGCGTACGCAAGAGTAGGAGTAGGAGTAGGACAACTGCAACAGCATATGCCCCAACACCTACGCATACCCTCTGGCCAACACTAAAAGCTCAGTTAGTCTAGACTTAATTTACCTAAGTTAACTTAATATTTTGGCTAACCTGTTATACGAGAAGCGGTTACTCAAAACATAACTTACCGTAAGAAACTTAAGAACCTGTAGCTTTTAGATACATTTAGATACAACCATTTGGAAATAAGAGCTGTGAGAGCATCAGGCGTGCCAGATTTTCATTTTGTATTTCTTTAAAATAAGTGAACGCTAAAATATTTTTTGCATGATTTTTTTTTTGATGTGGCATTATAAGCGCAAACTGTCAAATAGCTGAGAAAAAAAATTTCGAAAACAAAAATGTTCGCTTCTGACTTAAGTTAAGTTAAGTCTAGACCAACTGAGGTTTAACCTTTGGCAAATGATTCTCAAAGGCCGAAAGGCTAATTCAAAGATCTTAGCCGCAGTGTCTCAAAAAGTTTGAGGTCTTCTTGACGGAGGTAATGGAAGACGAATTGATTATGTTATATCGGAGTTATTTAACTTTATCTAAAGCAGTTAAACAGGCATTAAAATTATACAGAGAGAACTCACACTCACAGAAGGAATTTACGATGTGCAAATATATTATTTTCAAGTAGATGTATAAAGTCTTCATATAAGACCTCCAAATCTTAATTCTGGAAGGCAATCGCCAACAATGAGTCACTTTACCTACCCTCTCTCTTTAGATATAACTCTTGCCGTAAAAAGTCTATATGGGAGTTCGCTGTTTTGTGTATTCATTGTATCTTGTGTAAGTGTAACTGAATGAGCTTGTGATTTGTTATTGCTAGTGATACAATTAGGGGATTCACAAGACGTGTTAACCGTCGTAAAATCTTAAGGTTAACATCTTTTTTAATTAAAATGGTTTTAGGGGATTTCTAACTAAACCGAAATTCTTTTAAACTGATAAAGAATATATAATTAGCCAACCCCCCCAACCATTTTAACCGCTATTTTACATAAACAAGTGTTAAGCTTAAGATTTTACGACGGTTAACACGTCTTGTGAATCCCCTAAATAAATACACTTGCAATAACAATCACACAAATTAAGATCATTTTAATTATTCCTGATTGGTCTCAGACCAAATTGGGATTGTGGCCGACCCTTCCCTGGCTGGTCTGTCGCCATATCATTACCCTCAAATTCCCTCGTGACCGTAGACCCATAGTAGATGGATGCTGTTGTGGATTACAAGGACGTTAAGTCTACCTGTGCACTCGAAGCCTAGTGATTATGTTCCTTCGAAAGTCAAAAAATGCTTTGAGTGCCGCCTGGCTGTCCCTGAGGATCACTATTCTCTCATCGTTGTATTTCCTGTTCAGATTTATCTCCGCGCACAGACTGATGGCTTAGATTTCTGCCTGAAATATCATCGAGTACTTTAACTTTGGCACAGATATCCTTGGGGCCATAGGGTACTCAGCTGGAGATGTCTTTCCAAAATGGACGTGGACCATGTTCGTTTCCTACACACTTCTATATTGAACCTCTTTTCAAATAATATTGTTCGTGGAATCTCATCTCTGAGTAGTAGTAGAATTTGTGTCCTTTCCTGTGCACAACTCTTCTCTAGCAAAATTAAGTAGAGTTGGTTTAGCTGGCAGCTCTATGGTTACATGTAGGGGCTGCAGCACTTGAATTACCTCCAGCGCAGGTGCGCTTCGCAAACACATGCCAGACTTTGAAGCTTTGTCAGCGACTGTTTCACAGGGTCTAGCGTAGTTGTTGAGACCGAAGCTACCGTCATACATCGAAGGATTCTCGGGCTGCATGCCCAGGATTATTAGTGCTTTTGTGGCTCTGGATATGGCTGTGTCTACTATTTGTTCCATAGAAGTTTGTATTTAAGATCAGCCGCGGATAGTTCACTTCGCTGGTAACACTCACTGCAACCTCATCCTAGGATATATTTCTCATGCCGGGAAGGACCTTTCTCTTGGTGAAAGGAATGATTGACATTTTGGTTTTTGTTCGGTTGACTTTGAGCCCTTCATCCGGTGGCCTGATAGCTGCCTAGTAAGCAGCGTAATTAGTTACCAAAGGCAGGAAAACGCTGCAGTGCTGTGGCAGCCTAAAACAAAGATTTAGTGGGAGATGTTTTTAGTGTATCACGTCTCATATATTTTTGAGCCATCCGTGAATATGAGGATAGAGCTATCTCGTAGCCCGAGACCAAATAGTTTTCCCCAAAAAGTTCCTAGTTAGAAGGCAAAATGCTAAGATTGACCTAATAATGTTAGGGGAGTTGGCTAGCATATTAGTATGAGCGAATCAAGAGCCTTCTCATTTTAAAAGTGCTTTTAGTCTTATAGATAACAGCGTGCCTGAAATTTTCAAAAAACAAAAGCTCCAAGGGGAGAAAGTTTAGTAAGGCTTTATAGGGCATTAGTAGCAGTAGAGCTTCGCGCTCCTGTTACTGGTATGCAGGCCGTCACTTGAATCTTACTGAATTTAAAATTAGAGAGCGACTTATCCTGTGATGCCATTCCACTTAACTAACACTTTGAATATTTCTTTTTTGAATGTACTTTTTGGAAACTATGCAAATGAAATGCCATATTTATAAATTCACTTTTTCATACAAATTTGAAGTGAATACTTATTTAACTCTTTCCAGGTCCACCTGCTACAGTTGAAGTTGATATAATGGTACGCAGTATGGGCCCCATTTCCGAAGTGGATATGGTAAGTTAATGCAAAACGATTTCATACTCCTACTTCTCAAACTAAATCAAAATGTTTCCCACAAAAAATATATATATATATGTACCTACCTACATACATATTTAAATGGCAGCAAGAACATCAATCATAAACAGGTCGACATTTGCATGTAAAGGCAATTTAATTTTTCAATTAATAACGCTAATTAGTTCTGTACTATGAAGGAAGGAGCGCTGCCCACCTTCAGCATTTTCACACTTCAACAGCTTCTTCGCCAAACCAACAAATTGCGTGTAAACATTTCTTATTAATTATTTTACAAGTGTTTATTTGTGTTGAAAAGCCTAACAAATTTATTTACTCTTACCAGTTACACAAATCAAAACCAATTAAAGTCAGCAAAAAGAAATACGAATGGATGGTAGGCAAAAACGCTTAGACGATAAGAGTCACGCGCAGACTGACTTCAATTTATTATTTGTTGATTTAGCAACTACTTACACTCTCACACCACGAATTCGTACACATTTGCACACCTACAAACATACATTTGTAACTATACACATACATCCGTACATAGTATGTTCCCTGCAGCAATAAGGCGGCCAATTTTCAGTTAAGGACTAGTACTTCACTGGCTAAAATTTGACTGGTCAGAATTGGACATTTGCTTGCATCGAAAATGTCAGCCTTCGACCAGTCCCCAAGGAACCGGCCTAGAGATAGACGAAAAGTACAGTTTGGCAGTGACAGGGTGGTGTTGTCTTGCAATTCAATAAAAAAAAAATTTAAACAACACCACCCTGTAAATGTCCCAATCGCTTGGTCTGGCCTTGATGCAAAGTGAACATTTGAACACACATTTACATGCGTGGCTGTAGCTCAGTGCGCAGAGATGCTTGCCACTATTTGATAGTCTTTCAGGAGGGTCCGGGTTCAGAAGCAATATGGTTATAAAATTATAAAATTTATTTTTTTTGTGTTTCCGAATTATGAAAAAGCATCTGCGAAGTGCAGAACGCAATCTTACTCCAACGAAAAAAGTCTCCAAAATTTGACTAGTCCAGGACTAACTTACGGTCAGTGTTGATTGGACCGGTCCTTTTCCAATGACACGCCAATGCTAAAAATGGCAGTTGAAACCATTGGCAGGGGAATTATGAGGGACTAGTGCTGGTAACAATAGGGAATATCTGAGGGCTAACCTAGGGTGAGTCTGAATTGTTGCAGGGTTATTAAATCAACGCGACGCCTTTTCATTTGATTGCTTAACACCTCGGTTAAGTTCTCTGTGGTAATTTAGCTTTGCCTGAAAGTAAGCATTTTTCTTCTTTTTTTTTTTTGTATTCATTCATCTTTTCGCAGACATATTCCATGGATTGCTATTTCCGTCAATCGTGGGTGGATAAACGTTTAGCCTTCAAGGGCGCACAAGATACATTGGCTTTGAGTGTTTCGATGTTGGCGCGCATTTGGAAACCCGACACTTACTTCTATAATGGCAAACAAAGTTATCTACATACCATTACGACACCAAATAAATTTGTGCGCATCTATCAGAATGGCAGGGTGTTATATTCGAGCAGGTGAGAGATATTATAATTATTACCACATTTATGTTTTTAAGCATTATTTGGAAATTATAAATTACATAGTTAGAATTGTAAATGGATAATGATTTGCATTAAAATTTGCTGTTAAATATCAAAACTAAGAGCATTTGGGTAAGGCTTTTAATTGTCCTTTCATTCAGCTATAAGTCACATCCATCGACTTCTATTTTTGAAAATAATCCGTTTATGGTTGGTTGATTGTCAGAAGCATCGCCTGAGTACTTACTCAGAACCCACTTAGCGCTGAGAGCACCATTTTGATACGCTTTCTCTGAGATCCCTGATTGTATCTGCTTTCATGATTCGTCAGCTTGGTCACACCGCTTGTATCTATTTATGTTAGAAATGGAGCGTTTAGAGATCTCCCTAGTATATCATGCCTTATGCGTGACAATGCTGGGCAGTGTTCGCATTTTTGATACAATTGTACTTTTTTTAATACAATTTCGTTTAAAATATAGTTTCCTACTACGCAGTACTTTTTAATACAATTTTGTATATATATATATATATAAACAAAATTTTTATAAACAAATAATTAAAATTAAATAATTATAAGATAAGTAGCCAATCTTGTCAATATGTGCGTGTCGTAAAGTTTTGATAAGCACTTGAAATACTATTAAAATGCCAAGTTTTAATACTGAGTTCAAAGACAAAGTCTCTATTATCCATTCATAATAACTTAAAAAAATTTGGTTATTAATAAGTGTACCTTAAAGTATGTGCATACACATTTATGTTAAATGTGTAAAATATGTACATAAACTTTCCCATGAATACCATCAACTCATTGGTCTTGAAGGAAATCTATGTATACATGTACTAAGAAAATATATGAACAATTTCATTTCCCAACACTGACGCTGGGCACTCACAAATATAATGTTCGACCGTTGCAGCCACGACACCGTTGGTTGTACGGAAGATCAATTTTGGTTGCATGTTCACCAATGGGCCAATGTCCCGTTATCGTAGCTGTTAATCTGACTTTATCTTTTCTCGGCTTCTTTAAAAGTTCCTCTATCCTTGGGTTAACATGATTCGGCCTATATTCCTAGCAGGTTGGAATGTTGTGCCATACGTGCAAATTGCAAATGCAGTTCCCATTTCATGAGTCCGAGTAGACGGTTTATTGTCTCTACCCCGGATTCAGCTAAGAGATGTTCCGGCCTTAAATATCAAAATTTTTATTTTTAGAATATTCTGCCTTATCCTGAGTTTCGCCCGAAAAAAAAATTCACTCGAAAGTTTGTCATCCGCCCATAGTCAATACTTGGAAACCAAAAGTGAAAAGTGAACCGGTTCGGGGAAAATGAAACTCATGATAAGGAGGATTGTAAAAACGTTATTTCGATTTTTATTTTTCCGATAAAAAATAATCGTTAAATCTGGAATTCCATATTTTCGAACAAATGCAATCGTTATTTTGTGATTTTGAATTTTGGGGTCCAATATAATTATTTATTTTATAATCATGATGATTTCTAAAATCACACTGCGGTTTTTCAGTCTTATTTTGGTTTAAAAAGTCTAAAATAACAATAAGAAGTAATCCAGCTTAACAAAATATTTTGGCATTTGGGAAAGCCAGTTTCAAACCAATAATTTGCTTTAGCAGACATCTTTGTAGCCAACACCTTTTCTGTAGTGTTCGCCCATTCACCCGCAACAGTTGTCACTTTCGGACCCGCCTTATTAGCTGCGGTTGTAACAGGCGCTTGCCTATCTATCGCGCACGACCAAAACTGGTTTATGCACTTCACTGTCGACACCACGTGCGGTCAGAGCTTCGGAGATTAACTCCTGCTTGGTTGATGGTTTTGCATCGCTTGGTACTTTCACTTCGACCGATTTTAAATCAGGCGGACTACCACCGGCACCTACGTCTTCTAAGCTGGCAAGACGTTTATCACCAGCAGGTAAGATGACGCGATATTCCTCCTCGCTGGTTTAGGATGAAGTGGTGTTCAACTTGGGCACTGAGAGCGCTTGTACGCAAGGCTGAAAAAAAAGTGTATAAGGAATGTGGTTTCTTTATCCTCGAGAATCCATGAATGAGTAGTACTCACCAGCGGCGAAAATCACTAAGGTATTCATGTTGCTCAACTTATGTTGCTTTGCCTTAGTTATATCTTCTGTCCTGACTTTGAACCTTTTTATACACAACTTCGAACCTCACAACCTGAACCTCTGCCTGGTTCGAATCGATTGACTCGATAAAAATAAAATTAATTTGAATGGTATGGCAGTTTATAATGAGCATTCGTTTGACTAGTTAATAAAGTCTATAGTCACAAGCCCATTTTCCAATGCTTCTTCATGGATACATATTCAGCACCTAATAAAGTGACTCAAATCGGCGGCTGCATAATTTTCCTGTTAACAAATTCCCGTTCGTACCACTAAGTTCTGTTTCCAGAAAGTATGTCAAGTTCCCAAGTAACACAAGCATTTGGACGTCTGGATCAATTTCATTAACAATGAATGCGCCGGCGCGACGTTGCCATATTCCGTTTCAAAAAAAAAAGTTCACTAACGAGTTCGAAAAGAAGATGCAACACATTAACCAAATTAAGTAGGTCGATGGGAAGATATGACGCAAACACTGCCAATGATAATGAGAAGCTTTTAGTAAATAAAAAAATCAATAGCTGTGACTCTCCGTTATTCGTGTGAACATGTACATATGTGACTGAAGAAAAAAAGGTGTGTGCTCGAATTTCGAGTGATGCGTGTAAGAAAACTGCAATGCAATGAAGAGGTCGAAAGGAAGAAGTGAAATTATTTGCACCAGTCACGCTTTATTAAGTTAAGTTACAATTAAAAGGTGGGGCAAATGCGCTAGTGAGTATGTAATAGTCTCACCAAGAGATTCGAAACGAGTAAACTTTCATCAAAGTTTGTATATAAAAAGATTCAAAGTGAGAACAGAAGACATAACTAAACCACACTTTAACCGAGAAACATGAAGACTCTAGTGATTTTCGCCGCTGGTAAGTACTACCCAAGGATTCTTAATTATACCAAATTAACAAATACTCCTTGTAGCTATCCTCAGTGCACATGCGCTTGCCGTGCCCAAGCTTAATTCCACTTCATCCGAATCCAGCGAGGAGGAACATCGCGTCATCTTACCTGCTGGTGATAAACGTCCTGTCAGCTTAAAAGGCGTTGGTGCCGCTGCTAGTACACCTGTTTTAAAATCTGTCGAGGTTAAAGTGACAAGCAATGCAAAGCCATCAACCAAGCAGCAGTTTACCTCCGAAGCTCTGAAAGCACCGGGTATAGGCAGTGAAGCCCAAAAACGAGCGTTAGTGGCGCGTAATAGACGTCAATTGTCTGGTACAACCGCAGCAGGGAAAACGTCACCGGAAATTACAACGGTAGCCAGCGAAAGCGCAACTAGTACAGTGAAGGCGGTGTCGGCAGTTGGGGGCGTGACAAAGGCACCTGCTTTGGTCGCAGCTGCTGTTGGCACTAAGTCAAATTAGTGGCTTGAAACATAGGATTTCAGAAGGATAAAAGCACGTATTTAGTATTGTATTTTCTATGAAATGTGTGCTTATTTTTTGGTTACTACACATTAAAACGAAAGTGTTTTACTCAATCTGTAATACTTTAGATTTTTGGTTTTGTATTTAATTGAAATAAAAGTTCCAAAATTATCCTGAAAAATATGATTTTTTCCTTGCAAAAACTTGGTTACCTTTTGCTTGTAAAAGGCTAGGGCTTCAATAATATTCTGTCCTGGTTAGTGTGAACACGCGCACTCCATGATTCCGTATAGAAGCGAGTATTCGAAGAGAAAATATGCTGCTTCATCAAATAATCAGGTATGTGCGATCTTTCTTATTATCCTGGTAAGTCGGAACGGATAACATTGGCAACTCATTTTATCTGTGTACGCAGTGGGTTCCTAACTGCCCGGCCAGAAATTCTCTAGGCAAAGACCTGATCCCATCTAGAGCCCGGCTCGATTTCCGTAACTGAGATTTTTTCGACATTGCCAAACAGCTTCTGGCATGGAAATCCCTTCTACAAATAATCTATTCCGGCGCTTAATAGATTTTCTTTGCGATTTTCTCACCCAATAGAATCTGGACAACAAAATTTAATCAGAGATAATCGCTTCTGGCACTGAACAGATTCTCTCAATAACGGTTATCTCTCGTAGGGCCGGGACGGCACTACCACGCAATATCTTGACTTGGGTAGGTAGATAGATTTTTTTCGAGTACGTTTACTTTACACCTTATAAGGGTAACCTTGACGGGCTCAGGATAGGTCGTCCTGAAACAAATGTATCTTCTTAGAGCCTGGACTGGCTCTAGAATAATAGTTTGAGATAACCACTTTTGGTGTTGGGAAGATTTTCTTAACTGATATACTTTTTAGCAGTGCCTGGACTGCCTGTATCCTACAAAATCCCGTTGCTGGCAAGGTTTTTCTGACAATGGTTTTCTTGTCCGAGGCTCAACTTTCTATACCAGAGGTTAGGCTGGATGTAGAATACAAGAACTGATCAGAGCTTTGCATTGATGCATCAATGTTTTTGAAAACTGACTGCAGAAAAGAGAAGTGGCCAAAAAATTTAAACGGCTCTAAAAATTCCCGTTAAAAACATAGTTTGCTCAATTACAGTAATTTATTTGAAGTTTTTACAATTTTTCCTGTAACATACATATTTTGCTGTGAAATAATATCTGAAAAATCCCAAGCAAATCGATATATGCCCTTCGATGTATCAAATCAAAGAAATATATCGATGTATTTTTGCCACTGACATCCCTACTAGCGCCTCGAAAGTTTTCCTTGTCGGACGCTAGACGGAAGAAAGCAAATCGGACCACCGCCAGTGCTATTAGCGGTTCAAGCATAGTTCGGTTGTGGTCCGGAAATGGCTTTCCCTCTGCGTAGGCGAAACCCTCGAAACCCCTTGTTTTCAATATGGCGGTGTTTCCGCAACCCCCTGCGAGTCGAAAATTAAGTTTTACATTCACTGCGAACTGACCAACATGCCAATTTGACTATACTAATATAAGGGTGCGCACATAAATAAACATTCCCCAAAGTGCTTTACTACAACTGATTCATCTAAGTGCAGTTTTCCTCCTTTGCAACACGGCCTATCAGGTAGTAAACTTTTTAACCGAGCTGGCTCAACTCGGATAAATAGCTAAGTGTGTGTTGTTGTTTCGCAAGTATTTCGGTATCCTGCCTAGTATTCTCTTTGTCACTAGGAGCAGTTAGAAGTTAATTTAAGATACTTTCGAAACTTTTATTTCAAATAAAATAATCAGTATTAAAAATTAAAAAAAAATTTATCACTTTCATCATAGAAATAATAATAAAAAATAAACAATCAATAAGTTTAAAAAAGTCCCACGCCATTCCTTTGAAATCCTATGTTTCAAGTCACTTATTTGCCTTACTGGCGACTGTTTAGCCTTGCGACCACAGCACGCGCCTTTCCAAGCCTTCCAGTCGCTGGCATCACCTTTTCTGTAGTACTCGCGCGTTCACCCGCTACAGTTGTAACATTCGTATTCTTTTTATTGACTGCGCTCGCAACAGCCGCCTGACGTCTATCACGCGCGACCAAAACTTGTTTCTGCGCTTCACTGTCAATACCACGTGCGGTCAGAGCTTCGGAGATTAACTGATGCGTAGTTGATGGTTTTGCATCGCCTGGTACTTTCACTTCGACCGATTTTAAATCAGGTGGACTACCACCGGCTCCAACGTCTTCTAACCTGACAGGACGTTTATCACCAGCAGATAAAATTACGCGATATTCCTCCTCGCTGGATTCGGATGATGTGGTGTTCAACTTGGGTACTGAGAGCGCTTGTACGCATAGGAGGGCTGAAAGAAAAGTTTATAAGGAATGTGGTTTCCTTATTCCCGAGAATCGTTGAATGAGTAGTACTCACCAGCGGCGAAAATCACTAAGGTATTCATGTTGCTTAAGTTTGACTTAGTTATGTCTCCTACACCGAAAATGAACCTTTTTATATGTGCACTTTGACTGAAACTCTGGTTGGTTGGGATTGATTGGCTCGATAAAAATAATATTTATTTGTATTTTGTGGCAATTAATAATGAGCTTGCGTATGACTAATATAGTCACAAGCCCATTTTCCAATACTTTTCCATACATTTACAGCCGCTTACAAAGTGACTCAAAGCGGCACCCGGCGGCTGCATAATTTTCCTGTTAACGAATTCCCAACTCCCGTTCGTGCACTAAGTTCCGTCTCCTAAAAGTATGTATGTTAAGTACTCATGTAACGCAAACGTCTGGATGTCTGGACCAATTTCAGTAACAAGCCGAATGCGCCGGCGCGACATTTCCATATTCATGAACTCGTTTGAAAAAAGGTGAACAACGAGTTAAAAAAAGAAGATGCAACACATTAACCAAATTAAGTAGGTCGATGGGAAGATATGACGCAAACGCAGCCAGTGATAATGAGACGCTTTGGAGTAAATAAAAAATCAATAGCTGTGACTCTCAGTTATTTTTGTGAATACGTATGTATGTATGTGGTATGTGATTGAAGAAAAAAAGGCGTGAGCTCGAATTTTGGACTGGTGCGTGTAAGAAAACTGCTATGCAATTAAGAGGCCGAAAGGAAGAAGTAAAAGTGTTTTCGCCAGTCACGCTTTCTTAAGTTAAGATACAATTAAAATGTGGCGCCAATGCACAGTGGTTCAAAATTGGCATTTTGTGTTCACAATTCACTGGAGCATTTATTTTTTACTCAATTTGATTAATCTTATTACAATTAATTCAATTTGGTTAATTATTACATTGGATTTTAAGGTTATCTGATTAGGCAATATCTCCGAGAAGACTCGTATAAGGTTGCCACCTATTCGAAATTAGTTACAAATTAATTAAAACATCATAACATGGGTATCAAATGGAAGGTATTTTAAAGATTCCTAATTCAAAAATACTTATAATAAGGTTGCCACCTATTTTGAATCGTATATTTATTTAATTTTTGTTTAGAAAAAAAAGGTAAAATATTACTATTCAGGGACGTGAACCGGTTTCGAACCGAACCGGTTTTGAACCGGAAAAGCGCTTTTTTTCTATGAACTAACTGAACCATTAACCGAACCGAAATTTTCCACAAATGTTTGATCCGAACCGAAAACCGAACCACTTTTCATAAAGGTTTAAAGGTTCGTTTCAACCAATTTTCAATAGATAAATTTAATCCATTTTTTTTCTTTTTGTGAAATATGGTTATACATACCATGTGGTAATACCAAATGTGATGCCAACCGTTCTCATTTGACAAACACGTGACACTTATTCTTGCGCGTTGTTGCACTTAACACTTGATACTTAAACTTGCGCGTTATTTTTATTTTTATTTTTTTTCCGAACCGTTGAACCGAACCGAAACACCGGTTCAAAGACCAAAAAACCGCTTTGACGAACCAATCCAAAAGTGCAAAACGGTTCAAACCGCTGAACCGAACCGACCAAATATTTCATTCGGTTTACGTCCCTGTTACTATTTATGGGTACCAAGAGAAGGTTCTTAAACAATGGTTTCCCTATACACAAAATGTTATGTCATAGGATAATAGTGTAAGGTTGCCACTTATTTTCGATTCTGCACAATTTATCTAAAATATCACAACTTTGGTCAGAAAATATTTTCCATCAGAGTTGCCAAACTTCCTTGTAATATAAATTTTTATTTTTTTATTCTCAATCAACATTTTTTTATGTATACATACATAGTACACATACGCTCAATATATGTACCATTCATTCCAGCGTATTTCGGAATAGGGTTGCCACCTAAATTTTAGAGTAAGGAATTTACTTAATAGATATGGAAATCCAATTTTTTTTTTGTTTATTTCCAAAATTTTTTTTTGAAGCTATCCAAATCTTGAAAACTTTAAAAAGTATATGCACTCCGGGCAAAGCTCGGTCAACCTGCTAGTTTTTTTTTAAAGTTAGCTAATAAAATTTACAAGAGACCAATTGATCCCAATTTTGAATTTTTGTTTGTTTGTATTAAATTTTTTAGTGCAATTTTGAAGAAAATCGATTCTCCTGTTCCAGTTAATAAATGTTACATAATGAAAACTAATTGACAACAATTCTAGGGTTCCCTCAAAATGAAAAAAAATTGAAATGTTATAAAAAAAATTTTCACAAAAATTAAAAACAAAAAAAAACTGAGTTTCTAGAAAAATGTTGGGCATGCAGTTTTATAGATCATTATAATTTAGTGTAATAAAGTGCAATCTGCAAGTGGCTAAGATATCGCCACTTATCAGACGAAACTAAAACACCAAACTGCCCATTCCCAAAGGAATTTCCGCTATCTTCTTCTGCCTCTTGTTGTTTGTTGCTATTTTGGGTACTAGAAAGTGTGGTTCACTTTCTGTTTCAGCTGTTTGCAAGTTAGCCGTCTAACTTTCACGGCTCTCCATTTCCGTATGGCCTTAATTTAAAAATCGAAAATCCGCAGATTCTTGAGTAACTTGCGGTAAGTTAAGTTTTTCAGTTTCACAGTTTCTCATATAACAGTTTATACAAAACATTAGGTTAAGTTACTTAAATTAAGTCTATGTTATGAAATCACGATTGAGAGAATACATAGGTTTCGGCGCTCTAGACACATTAAACATTAAAAACATTCAATGTGCCTTGGTTGAAATTTTCTCCCTATCTCCGTTTGCCAAATTGGTTTCTTTAATGTTTATTTATTTATTTTCCATTCAATTTCAGATTAACAATCAAAGCTGGCTGTCCAATGAATTTAGAAGACTTTCCTATGGATATACAAAAGTGTCCACTAAAGTTTGGCTCATGTAAGTGAAATGAAAACTGCCAAAAACTTGTAAACAACTTATGAAAGTTCAACATCAAACCAACGTTAAATATAAAGTAAATGCAATTGAGACTTCGTACGTGCACTTTATATGTACATACGTACATATGTATGTACTAAATATGTACATCCACTCTTATGAGCACACAAACAAGTAAACAAAATAATTTCTTTCATAATTTCCTTAAACTTATGCAAGTGAGATTTTTGAGTTACGGAATGCTAAGGGACATACACACGTATTATATGTACACTAGGGTGGTAAAAAAAAAAAATTTTTTTTATGTTAACTCTCACCCTCTAGGATTTTTCTTAATGGGAAAATTAATACTAGATTTTTTTTTGTTAAAAAAATATATGTATTTAGAACTGCTTCAAAACCCATGAAGTTTTCCATGTATTTTATATGGGGGAAAAACACATTTTCTTAGAAATGGTATAGAATTCCTGAAGATCAATATATTTTCGATCAGAAAACTCGGTCTCTTATCAGGAGAACTACAATAATAATACCCAAATGTTTATTTTATTTTATTACTTATGGGTCCTTTTTTGGGGTTTTTCGTTAATATTAAATTTTTTTAAATTAAAAATTGGGTATTGTTATTGGAAGTCTCCTAAAGATAAACAGAGTTTTCCGATCGAAAAATATTGATTTTAAAGAATTCTATACCTTTTCCATAAAAAAGTGTTTCTTCCCCTCATACAGCACGTGGACAACTTCATGGTCTTTGAGGCAGTTCTATACATCATTTAAAAAAAACACATCCTGGGGGTGAGAGCTTTACATTTTAAACTTTTTCCCCCCGCTTGTATTTTTGGACCACCCTAATATGCACTTGTGCATAAGCATGTAAATATGTGTGTATAATTGTGTAGCTATTTTTATTACCTATTGACCTTGATGACTCAAAGTCGCAAAAAAGCTTATATGAGCGGAGGACACAACAAATAGGCGCTTGTAGTCGGCGGTCCCCTTGTATTAATGCGATCTAACTACTTATAAATGCAATTCAACGAAATACTTATGAATTGCATACATACATATATTTAAATTTACCAGGAATGCACAGCGTATTACTGTATACTCAAAAGCAAGCTTGCAAACACCCTGAATGCTTATCGCTTTGCGCCACTTTACTGCCAGCTTTCTTATTTTTTTATTTGCGTACTTTACTAGCCTGCTGCGATTTGTGATATTAAAATGATTTAAATAGCTCTTATGCTGCCCACTCGTCCTTATAAATGTCCTTATACTTATTCACATGTAAATACATGTACATATACATATGTATGTATACGTTGTTAGCAGCAACGCAAAATACGCCACAAAAAGACAAATGGGTAGACCAAAAAAGAGGCTAGTAAAAGCGCAGCACGCAACTATGGAAACAAGTTAAGCTGTTGTTAGCCGTTTGTAGTTCATTTATTCGCTGCTTATTCGTTTATAGCGGCAAAAGCAATGAATGTACTCGTATGCTTACAATGTATGTACACACGCGCCCTAGCATACAGACGGCTACATACAGTTCATGTATTGTATAAGAAATTGTTTGTTGCACCCCAAGTACATAATCATTATTGTTTGTTGCATGCGCCATAGGCGGTAGAGGGGTCGGTGTAGCTGCGCTCCGGTGCATTGGCTTAGTTTTCGCATAGCAGCTTTTCTAATGAATATGTCTGCCCGCCTATTCGACATTCAAACGCATTCAAGGCTTTAATTGATTGCATGCTGTGGCAGGAATTTAAGATGATTTGAAGGAAATTTGAGATTTTATGCTAGAGAGAGTCGAAACATTGTCATTAAGAATGTTGTCATTTAATGCCTAGTGGAAATTCACTATTACCCATACATATTCGACTCTACCTATTTTTTCAGAGATATATACATATGTACATGACGAACGAGCTCAGATCAAAGAAAATATTTAATGTTTCTAAAAAGCACTTTGTATAGCATAAAAATTCTTTGTTTGATCAGCAGCTAACTTCATATAGGCATTTTAAAACCAAATATCTTTGTAGTACTTTTTTATATTCAGTCACAGAAAAATTCAGCATCTACAACATTTTTAACGTCTTTCAAGCTAATTGCATCCATTAAACATGATTTATATTCGCATAAAATCGATTTTTTTTTTTGCATTTTGCATTTCAATTTACACTTTTGATTTTCGAGACGTACCACCAGTCGTATACGTAACATCATAAAAAATCAATTTACACATTACACATCAAATAGACGTGCGTACGACTGACTACAAAGTATGCGTACATACTATATATGTATGTACAAATGTATTGTAATGTATGCATATCCGCATAGTAAACCTCAATGTGACACAATTTGAAAGCCGCAGAAACAAATATAGTACATACATATGTATGTATTTAAATGTGCACATACACATGTATGTACTTCGATGCAATGTAAATATACTATCTAGCTATATCTGCGTAACAGATGTAAACATGGAATATTTAAAAGAGGATTTTAGTACAGATGGTCTAGTACAGTTATGTGGAGTTATGGCCAAAAATAGGCTTTGCACATATATTTGTACCGTCTTACTAACAAAGACCATTGGAGTAGTACCCAGGTATATATATAAGTACACAAGCTGCATCAGTTTGGGACCTGCTCCAATCCTCTAACCGGTGTTACCTAAAATACTGAACATATTTTACCACTGACTCGTTTGTTATCCGGTCCAATAGTCCAAAATGCCAGACTACTAAAGATAAATAACCCCAAGTGTTTCTATAGTAGTTCGGAACATAGACAAAAAATGTAGTACGTTTTACCACCTTGTCTTCATCACGACATCTCCTGCAGAGAAAATTACTTGATATGCGCCATCATATGAGCATTGGTGTAGTACCAATTCAGAAGCACTTTCACATTCTTCCTATTTTACCTCGACCATACTGACATTAAAATTTTAATCCATAAGTTAATATTTTAGTCCATAGATTAGTATTGGCATTAATCAATGCAGAGGTGCTTCGCATAGATCTTAGCTTGGAAGGAGATACAGATGTTTTGTCGAGAATTTTTGACTGATCCATAGGTCCTTCTAGAAAAAAGAGAGCCAAGTCCTTGCTATGAATGGTAATACTACGATCTAGCATTTGTAGATACGTGTACGATTTTTATTTATTAGACTATTTTCTCAACTTCGAATTTACTTACACTTAGCAGAAAATTAGATTATCATAAATTTTGGATTTTGGGCGTGGCGCCGCCCACTTATGACCAAAAATGTGTATCTCGCTAACGGATTTATCAATTTCTACCAAACTCGGTGCACTTAATAACCGTAGTACGAAAAAAAAATTCGTTGAAAATCATTCAAATCGGACTAAAATTACACCCACCTCACGTATAACGCTAAATTTGAGATATAGAAAACCTCAGATATTTCCATGACTGAGGGCGCTCATTTACTCCAAATTAACTTAATTACTTACAACAATCTCTTAAGAAATAGGACTGTTATAGACTTTTAGTTAGTTTAGCGAAAATTAAAACGACGATATTTGATACCTGCGCCAAGTATATAAAATTCGGTTTCGCCCGAACTTATGCTTCTTTACTTGCTTACTTTTAGTAGCTCCGGAGAGGTGACTTTTTAGAGATTCAAGAGATCATTTGATAGATATTCCGCTATCTCAACATTCGAATAAAGTAAACCAGAGCTGTCATTTTGTATAGTCCCATAATATTAAGTACAGGTTCCTTTGGTGCTGAAGGCGGGTTTTTTAGAGCATCCGATGACGATTAAATGGTTCCAAATTGGTTAGATCTGGCAATGCTATTATCACTCGTACACAGTTTAGTATGTCATTTCATCGTGAATAGACTTACGCCAAACAACACTTGCAAGTTGTGCAAATGTATTTCGAAAACCGTGGTTCAGTTCGGGAATGTCCATTTACGATCGACATAATCACGATTTTTGTATCACGTATACTCTTAATGAGCCCAACCCAGCGTTGGCAGAATTGGCCTACGACCTTATAAAATGCAGTTGTGTAGCAATTAGAGATGGGCACGGCACTAAATATTTTATTTTATCCCGATCCCACTCAAACCGAAATTCAGTTTTTAAGTACCGTAAGTATGTAACGCCATTACTAAGTTTCAATTCAAAGTTCTGCGACTCTTAAAAAATGTATCAGGAAATCTTGTAAAACTATGATTCGAAAGATCAATAAAAAAAAACCGCATGAATTTCTTACTTTGCAGATAACCTAAGCGGTCACCCTAGTACCCTTAAACTTTTAATAATTTTCCACTATGAACTATCTTCTAAGCTATTCCAAGTGTGTGCAAAACCTGCATATACTTATGTACTTATGTATAATAGTGGTTTCACAGCTTTGCTTTGCTGGGGTGCCGTGGCGCATACGTAACCTCAATACAAAATAATTAAGTTGTTGTCAAGTGGTGTTTGATTCATTTGCAACATACGCTGTTTATTGTTTTGCGCTTACTTCTGACATTTGATTTTTCTTGCCATATTTTTTGCTGACTTCTGAAAAAGCAAAATGAAAAAAGCAGGGCGACTGTCTACTTCCTGTCTTTGCGAGCAAAAGATACTAGGGGCGAGTGCACATAAATTTTAATGAATTCCATATTTTGAAATTCAAATTTGTGCAAAGTGCATGCGGAATTCGGGTAGAAGACAATATTCTTACACATATGCGAATATTGTAGCTTGTGAAATGAAAAAAAATTATACTTGTAACACCCATTTGAACTACATACATACATACATAAATGCATGCAAAAAATTGTGTTGCTGATTTCAAACTTATATACAATCTAAGCAGTTCAAAACCTATCTGCTGACTCTCATTAACTCGTCAACTGCCAAACAACAACGGAAATTAGTACGGTAAAGGAAAAGGAAACAATGTTGTAATGGCATTTGGCTGTTTATTGAAATCAACGAATGTGAAGGAGTGAAAGAAATTAAAGGAAA